TTCCATATTGATGTCCTTTTGCCAAATTAAAGGCAGAATTCAGAAAATGTATATATTATTTGTTTATATTGTGAAATTGTGCATATATATATGCACTATCTTCTCATGATAAATATGGAAATTAATTAAATGTATTTAAAGATATGAAATCCTAGAAAATGTGCTTCAGGAACTTTGAAGATGAAGATTTTTCATGAATGAGTGCATTCATTCCTAGGGAAAAGAATTTATACATGTAATCAGGAAGAAAATAAGAATATATACAAAATAAACACACTAAATAGTGCTTTTTAGAGGAAGGAAGAACAATAAATATTTGATAAAAATGCAAATATAAAGCCAGGCAAGGTGTAATTTCAAAATAATTTTTATACTATGTAGTTCACCTCAAGAATTAGCCTTTTAGCAACCCATCCTCACATTAGGAATGGGGGTACCTGTGGAGGAATTTTAGAAGTGGGGAGAAATGAAATAGATTAAAAAGAATTATTTATTTATGAAAAGTGAGTTACTTTCTGCATTCTCCCCCTCCAAAATAATCTTGTGGGTTAGATTTCTGCTGTTTTACTGCAGAAGGGAATGCCTGATAATTTTCATTGTGTATTAAGTACAATGTTGCAATGAGTGCTACATTATTTAACTAATTACTCCTGACACAAACAAGTTTTGAATGCTATATGTTTTTATTTTAATAGTGCTTTTGAATTGAAAATAGCGATCTTTATTTAGCTCAGACTCAATGGGTGATGGGAGAGATCATGAATTGTATTTTAAGGCAATGCTGCAATGACCACGTGTAATGTCTGAGATATGGTGGGTGAGTTTCCTTTATGTTTGGTTTTGTTTCAATACTATTAAACCATTAAATTATAATGATGAGTGTGCTAGATGCAAGTTAAATGTTCACACGTGATTAAATTCCATGTCAAACTATGTCAAATACCTGGTCCGGTAGAAAATGTCAAATATTTCCATTTTAATGAATTTAAAGCCTGAATTTTAAGCTGATATTCTCTTGCCCACTCTCACATTCCAAGCCTTATACATGTTTGCTTTAGAACTGCTTTGGGTAAAAGTGCAAACTTAGCTTCTTTAGACTCTGCCGTTTCATTTATAGACCTTACTTTCTCCTCCCTATACATTGCTGGCTCACTCGCTCTCTCTTTCTCTGCCTTTATCTGTCTCCCGCCGTGTCTCTCTCTTTTCCTCTCTCTCTCTCTCCCTACCCCTTCTACATGTCATCTTTTTGTTCTTGAATACAGATGTTAATACACATTTGCTAAAGAGTATTATCATTACTTTGTAATATCTTAAAAAACTATTTCATGGAAAATTTTAAAGTAATACAAGACAACACATATCTAAAATATATCTAAAGATGTATTTCTCTAATGGTAAAGCTGAGATTTAAGAAAACATTTGGTTAGCAACTTCATAATAGAAAAAATAAATCTTTAATAGAGAAAACATAATATTTAAAATTCTAGTTCATAAATTATTTAAAATTAAACATTGGTATATCATGTTGAGATTAGGATTATTATTACAGTTGGTTTTTAATGAATTCCTTGGATGGAAAAGTATTAACTAACTAGTACAGAGAACAGAGAAGGTGAATAAATGTTTTTGTTTAATGATGGTGTAATCTCAAATTTTTGTGAGGTAATTGAAAATTGAGTCATCTTCACAAGTATTTAAACATAGCCTGAGTTAATGTTAAGCTAAGTATATATGTATTTGATTAAGATGATTTTGTAAGATAGCCGAGTTCTGAATAATACTCTTTAAGACCTACCTAGTCAACTGCAGTACTTTTCAAAAATTCTCTACATAAGAAAATTTAATGAACATTATTAAAATGCAAATAAACTATGCTGGTCAAGAGATCGAGACCATCTTGGCCAACATGGTGAAACCCCGTCTCCACTAAAAATACAAAAATTAGCTGGGTATGATGGTGCGCGCCTATAGTCCCAACTACTCGGGAGGCTGAGGCAGGAGAATGGCTTGAACCAGGAGGCGGAGATTGCAGTGAGCCAAGATTGTGCCACTGCACTCCAGCCTGGTGACAGAGTGAGACTCCGTTTAAAATAATAATGACAATAATAATAATAATAATAAAATAAGCTATGCTAATCACCCAGTGTAAAACAAATGCTCAATAATTAAAGTTTAGTTATTTTAAAATACTGTAGAAAAAACACTATAGCTTCTGTAGTCAAGATTTTAAAAAAAGCTATCATCATTGAAAGAGTGCAGCTATTACAGGGAAAATATGAGGAATTAAAAATTATTTAACTTTTAAAAAATGTTTATATTTATTTATTTCAAATATCTGGTCACTTTCCATGTGTAATAAAATGTTTTAAAAATTAAAATAATGTTTTTAACTTTTTTTTTGGTCCCCCAGGCTGGAGTGCAATGGCACACGATCTTGGCTCATGGCAGCCTCTGCCTCCCGGGTTCAAGTGATTCTCCTGCCTCAGCCTCTCCTGAGTAGCTGGGATTACAGGTGCCTGCCATCACACTCGGCTAATTTTTGTATTTTTAGTAGAGACGGGGTTTCACCATGTTGGCCAGGCTGGTCTTGAATTCCTGACTCCAGGTGATCTGCCTACCTCCCAAAGTACTGGGATTACAGGTGTGAGCTACTGCACCCAGCCTTAAATTCTTATGCAAACTTGATATTTTTAAATTTTGTATAATCATTTGTTTTCTTGGTCAATGTATTTTCATTTAGAGAATATATATAAATGGAACATTAATATATCACTAATTACTAATACACAAAATAATTTTATTGCCTTTTATTTTTAAATAGAAATTCATCCCAGTTATGTAGGGCTCACCTGTAGCCCCAGCTACTCAGAAGGCTGAAGATCACTTGAGCCCAGGAATTTGAATCAAGCCTGGGCAATATATAGCAAGACCTCATCTCTACAAAACACTAAAAATTAAAAAATTAAATATTAATCCTCATGATATTTCTATGTACATTATTTTAAAACAACATCGGTGTTATGTGGGTTATTTAATAAGATTTCATTGGTGGTAATAATTATTAAACCTTACTATAAAAATCAATAACAAACACAATGTATATCAAAACTAAAACAAGTATAATCCTCACATCTTCTCAGTACAGTAAGGAGACAAAGACATGAGAGTTAAAATAATGGACCATGATGTACCTAGCACTTCTCAGTGTTCGTTGTTTCTCTCAGATCTGTAAAGTCCAGAAATTTTGAGATGCTGAAGTTACTAATAATTTTAACTTCGAATTCTTTTAGCTTCCATGCCAAATTATTGAGTCAAGATAACAACAGCAATGAGCATGGCTAACGATTATTGAGTGCTTATCATGTAATATTACTTATTTAAGTAATTCACATGACTTAATTGATTTAATCCCCCAAATACTCCTATTCTTAGATATTATTATTTTATGGATTAGAAAACTAAGGCACAAAATTATTTAAAATAAATTTTTGTGTACACTCGACGCATAGTAATTGTACATACTTATGGGGTAAATATGTTTCAGTGCATGTGTACATAGCATAACAATCAGGATAATTACTGTATCCATACATCTCAGTCCATTTGTGTTTCTATAAAGGAATATCTGAGGCTTGGTAATTTATAAGGAAAAAAGGCTTGACTTCCAAGTCTGATGTCTGGAAGTGTTAAGATTGGACATCTGCATCTGGCAAGGGCCACAGGCTGCTTTCTCTCTTGGTGGAAGGGGCTGGAGAGCTAGAGCCACCCTGTGCAGAGATCCAATGGCAAGAAAGAAAGGGTGGTGGAGGAGGTGTCAACCTCATTTTAACTGTCTTACTAACAGAGCAAGAACTCACTACTTTTACGAAAGCACCAAGCCATTCTTGAGGCACTCACCCCCATACCTCCGAATATCTCTCATTAGGTTCCACCTTCAACGTTGGGGATCAAATTTCAACATGAGGTCTGGAGGGGTCAGAAAATAGCACCATCATTTTAAACATTTATTATTTATCTGTGATGACAGCATTCAAAATGTTCTCTTCTGGCTACCTTGAGAGGGATTTGTCAAAGTGCTTGCCTGGGAAATTATGATTTACAGAAGTCCTGCCAGAGACACTGTTTTAGCCAGAGTTAAAATTGAATTTCAAAATTACTAGTCATATGGAGTAGAAATCAACAAACTATGGCCTGTTGGTTAAATCTGGTCTGCTGCCTGTGTTTGTACAATCCACGAATTAAAAATTGTTGAAAACTAAAGGGAAATATCGTATGCCATGTAAAAATTTTAAGGAATTAATATTTCACTGTGTATAAATAGACTATTCCTTTATCTCTCACCTATGGCTTCTTTAACACTGGAGTTGACTAATTGTCAGCTACCAAACTACTACTCAACTGGAGTTGAGTAGTTGCACCAGGAAATATAATACCCACAAAGTTAATATATTTACCATCTAGTTGTTCCCAGAAAAATGTTTGGTTACCCCAGCACAGAGAATGCATTAGCAAAGATAATTTGGAATATATCAAAAATGTCTGGACCAGGTGACTCTTAACAATAACCTGAGATAATTAATTGCAAAACAAATGTGACAAATAGCAATGCTATACATGGAGAAGTTAAACTCATAGAGAAAGACAGGATCCCTATGATGAGTTGAGAAATGAATGAGGAGATGTTACACATGGAGTGATGACTACATGTACTGTCCTTTTCCCCTTTTCCAAACCTCCAAAATTTACGAGAGCATAAATCCACACAGAGAAAAAGAATGAGAGAAGACAAGAGCAGATAAGAATCAACAACACTTTTGTAAATGGAAAGTGGATGCATAAGTTTTAACTCCATAAAGCAGATGTATCACTCTGTTGCCAAAATCCTCTTTTGATAACTCAACTTCCAGAATTTATCTGGACAAACTGAACAGCCCTGGATGAGACCTATAGCTATTGACATCATTATTTACTAATGAATCACGCAGTGCCCATTCAATCACCTGATAATGAAGCGCATAGGTCAATAATCTTTGGATGGATGTTCTCCTCAGTCTGTCTGGGGTCTCATCCAGGTTGATTTTCTTCTTCCATCTCCACCACTTAAATGTTTCTCTGCCCACTTTTGTGCTCCAATGCTGCACACGAGGCTCCCTCTTTGTGTGAATGCATTTCTGACTCTGATCAGGCTCTGATACCAAATTCTGACCTGTTAAACTTGTTCTGAAGGAACTCCACGTGCTATGTCCATGAAAAATCTGAGAAGGCACAAGCAAGGTGACCATATTTTAGCATGATTATTGTTATCACATAACTTCACCTCTTCTGCCCTCACTGAGAATTTCCTAAGTAATGTTACCTTAAAAGAAAAACATTATGAGTCTGACTTACTGATAAGGCTGCACAGTATGACAGCATCAGCTGAGAGTGAGTTTTTAGAATTAAGATTTTAATGTCCTGAAAAATAATGGGGAGGAGTCCTCCCTGTGGGCCTAACTCAAGTAGTAAGTCTCATTTTAATGGAAAGCAATATAGCTTGAGTTAAGGACCTGTACTCATTAATGAACAGTGACAAAATTATTGACTACATTGATGGAGAACAGGATGGGAACTTGGAAGCAATGTAAACAGAAATTTGGGAAAAGGTTTCCTGAAGGGATGAGTATGGGCCCGGAGAATAGGAATATATGTATCCCTTGTGAATAGTCATAAAAGGGCCTCATTTCAGATGATATTCCCTATAATCAAGAGGATATGGTGGTTTTCCCTGTATGATCTATAACCTTTAGTATCTTTACTGTCTACACCTCTGCTTGATTAATGAACACATGAATACAATGACAATGATGGCATATCAGGTTGGACTTGCATGGGCTCAACAACATGTGATATAGTTTGGCTGTGTCCCCGCCGAAATCTCATCTTGAATTGTGGTTCTCCTAAGCCCTAGGTGTCATGTGAGAGGCTCTGTGAGAGGTAATTTATTATGGGGGTAGTTACCCTAATGCTGTTCTTGTGATAGTGAGTGAGTTCTCACAAGATTTGATGGTTTGATAAGGGGCCTTTTCCTCTTTTCAGGGGCATTTCTCCTTCCTGCTGCCCTGTGAAGAAGGATGTATTTGCTTCCCTTTCTGCCATGATTGTAAGTTTCATGAGGCCTCCCTAGCCATCCTGAACGGTGAGTCAATTAAACCTCTTTCCTTTGTAAATTACCCAGTCTCTGGTATGACTTTATTAGCAGCATGAGAATGGACTAATACAGTAAATTGGTACTGGGTAGTGGGGTGCTGCTGCAAAGATACCTGAAAATGTAGAAGCGATTTGGAACTGGGTAACAGGCAGAGGTTGGAATAGTTTGGAGGGCTCAGAAGAAAACAGGAAGATGTGGGAAAGTTTGGAACTTCCTAGAGACTTGTTGAATGGTTTTGACCAAAGTAGTGATAGTGATATGGACAATGAAATCCAGGGTGAGGTGATCTCAGATGGAGATGAAGAACTTGTTGGGAACTAAAATAAAGGTGATTTTTGCTATGTTTTAACAAAGAGACTGGTGGCATATTGCCCCTGCCCTAGAGATCTTTGGTGCTTTGAACTTGAGAGATATGATTTAGGGTACCTGGCAGAAGAAATTTCTAAGCGGCAAAGCATTCAAAAGGAAGCAGACCATACAAGTTTGGAAAGTTTGCAGCCTGATGATATGATAGAAAAGAAAAACTCATATGCTGGGGAGAAATGCAAGCCAGCTGCAGCATAAGTTATGATAAGTCAAATGTTAATCACCAAGACAATGGGGAAAATGTCTCCAGGGCATGTCAGAAACCTTCATGGGAGCCCCTCTCATCATAGACCTGGAGGCTAGGAGGGAAAAATGGTCGTGTGGACCTGGCCCGGGGTCCCCCTGCTGTGTGCAGCCTAGGGACTTAGTGTCCTGGATCCCAGCTGCTTCAGTTATTGCCATGGCTAAAAGGGACTAATGTAAATCTCAGGCCATTGCTTCAGAGGGTACAAACCTCAAGCCATGGTGGTTTTCAAGTGGTGTTGAGACTGTGGGTACACAGATGTCAAGAACTGAGGTTTGAGAACGTCTGCCTAGATTTCAGAGGAGGTACAGAAATACCTGAATGTCCAGGCAGAAGTTTGTTGCAGGGGCAGAGCCCTCCTAGAGAAACTCTGCGAGGGCATTATAGAAGGGAAATGGGAAGTCAGCGGAGCTATATGGAGTCCCCACTAGGGCACTGCCTGGTGAGGCTGTGAGAAGAGGGTCACTAACCTCCAGACCTCAGAATACTGGATCACTGAACGCTTGCACCATGAGCCTGGAAAAGCCACAGACACTCAATGCCAGCCCATGAAGCAGCTGGGATGGGGCTATATCCTGCAAAGCCACAAGGGCAGAGCTGTCCAAAGGCCCTGAGAGCCCACTTCTAACATTTGTGTAACCTGGATGTGAGACACGGAGTCAAAGGAGGTCATTTTGGAACTTTAATGACTGCCCCATTGGACTTTGACTTGCATGCGGCCTGTAGCCCCTTTGTTTTGGCGAATTTCTCCCATTTGGAAGGAGTGCATTTACCCAATGCCTATACCACATTGTCACATTTCTAGTGATAAGCTAGGAAGTCATTAGCTTGCTTTTGATTTTACAGGCTCATAGGCAGAAGGGACTTACCTTGTGTCCGATGAGACTTCGGACTTGGACTTTTGAGTTAATGCTAGAATGAGTTAAAATTTGGGGGGACTTTTGGAAGGGCATGATTGTGTTTTACAATGTGACAGCATGAGATTAGGGAGGGGCCAGAGTGGAATGATATGGTTTGGCTGTGTCTCCACCCAAATCTCTTCTTGAATTGTAGTTCCTATAATCCCCATGTGTCATGGAAGAGACAGAGTGGGAGATAATTTAATCATGGGAGCAGTTACCCTCATGCTGTTGTCATGATAATGAGTGAGTTCTCATGAGATCTGATGGTTTTATAAGAGACTTTTCCCCCTTTTGCTTGGCATTTCTTCCTGCTGTCTTGTGAAGAAGGACATGGTTGCTTCCCCTACTGCCATGATTGTAAATTTCCTGAGGCCTCCCCAGCCATGCTGAACTGTGAGTCAACTAACTTCTTTCCTTTGTTAATTACCCAGTCTCAGGTATGTCTTTATTAATACTGTGAGAATGGACAAATATACAACATGAAACTTTTTTTTTTGTCACAGAAACATCCTGTTTAATGCCCCTTATGAGACCTCAGTTTGATAGAACTAGTAAATACTGACCTTGAGTTATTCTATCATGACTCAAGAGATCACTCAATTACTAAATATCTCATAAACCATCATTGTATCACAAAATATTTCTTCTGACCAAAGGAATTCACTTTTCAGGGAAATAATAAGTGGAAGTTCCACATGGTATGCTTTGGTACTATCATTCTAGGACCTAGCCTAGCCCATCTCCCTACCCTATTATCCAGAAACCAATAATACATATTCCATTAGAGGGTCAGGTCTGAGCCAATACTTTTTAAGGCTGGGACATTGATTTGGGATCTCACAAATGTTATCCAGAAACTTTTACTTCCAGACATATCAAAAGGGTTCAGGATTTTAAAGGGTGGAAACATGAAGAGTAATTGTCACTATTCACATAATAATTAATTCATGAAAATTTTCAGTGTCAGTTTGTCATTTTTTTTTTTTTACTTTGTGCTGTACTTATTCAAAGAAGTTAATATTAAAAAAAAATTCTACCACCAAACAAAGTAGGTCCACTGAATTGAAAGTTGAAATTCATGCCTAACATTTTCTCTGTTTTATGACACTGGGTTAAACTATTAGAAAATGTTTATGTATTGGTTTTCAGTGACTATCACTACAATCAAGATGAAACCATGTGTCTGAAGCATAATGGAGAATAAAGGGGTAGGATGGCACCCTGGGAAACTATTTGAAAGTATATGCGCAGTGTTAAGGATAAACAAAGACTCACATTTCTCAATGATGAAGATTTGACTCTACATTATGAACACAGAGCCCTCAACATGGGGGTACTAGACAAATGCAAAATAAATATGAAATAGATATTTCAGGATGGTAATCATAAATATCAAATATGGCCTCTAAACATTTTCAGAAGTAAGCACTGTAGGCTCACCTTGCATTTTTTCACTCCTTGGTGAAATTTTCAAATGTCTAGTTGTTTTAACTAATTGACTTATAATTTCTTCATTCATTTGCACCCAATCCAATAGATAATATGCATTTATTTATGACTAAATATTTAAAGATAAGAATAAAAAATATGATTTTTTATTGCATCTATTTAATTCTTCTCTCTTTTCCTCTTTGTTACTCTTGCTAGTGGTCTATCAATTTTGTTGATCTATTCAAAAAACCAGCTCCTGGATTCATTGAATTTTCTGAAGCGTTTTTTTGTGTCTCTATCTCCTTCAGTTCTGCTCTGATCTTAGTTATTTCTTGCGTTCTGCTAGCTTTTGAATGTGTTTGCTCTTGCTTCTCTAATTCTTTTAATTGTGATGTTAGGATGTCAATTTTAGATCTTTCCAGCTTTCTCTTGTGGGCATTTAGTGCTATAAATTTCCCTCTGCACACTGCTTTAAATGTGTCCCAGAGATTCTGGTATGTTGTATCTTTGTTCTCATTGATTTGAAAGAACATCTTTATTTCTGCCTTCATTTCATTATGTACCCGGTAGTCATTCAGGAGCAAGTTGTTCAGTTTCCATGTAGTTGAGCAGTTTTGAGTTTCTTTTTATCATTATTGTTATTATTATTATTACTATACTTTAAGTTCTAGGGTACATGTGCACAACGTGCAGGTTTGTTATATATGTATACATGTGCCATGTTGGTGTGCTGCACCCATTAACTCATCATTTACATTAGGTATATCTCCCAATGAGATCCCTTCCCTCTGCCCCCGCCCCCCAATAGGCCCCAGTGTGTGATATTCCCCTTCCTGTGTCCAAGTGATCTCATTGTTCAATTCCCACCTATGAGTGAGAACATTCGGTGTTTGGTTTCCTGTGCTTGCGATAGTTTGCTGAGAATGATGGTTTCCAGCTGTATCCATGTCCCTACAAAAGACACGAACTCATCCTTACTTATGGCATCATAGTATTCCATGGTGTATATGTGCCACATTTTCTTAATCCAGTCTGTCACTGATGGACATTTGGGTTGATTCCAAGTCTTTGCTATTGTGAATAGTGCTGCAATAAACATGCGTGTGCATGTGTCTTTATAGCAGC